CCCCCCTAAATTCAGATAACTCAAACTAGTAGTCTATCCTTTCTGGCTGGCTGCTAGGGAAGGAGTTTGATATCCTTTTCTCAGTGTCTGACACATTGCTGTTTGAACAGCTTTAATAAGAGAAAACATCCTTGGCTGATCAGAGAAAATCGTGTTTAAAAGCAAAAGCTCAGGCTTCAATAACAAGTCTCCTTTTGGACAAACGCATGTATTCTCTCAGTTCATATTTAGTATTTGATTAAAAATTCCCTCCAAATGATGTGTACTTCTTGTGTGCTATGAATCCAAGACGTTCCTGTATTTGAACATAAAAATTGGTGAGGAGCTTCTTTATAAGAACAGTTGTGAACATGAGTGAGGAAAGCCCTTATAAAAGCCTTCATAAAATTATTTTAATTAAGAATTTTTTAATCAAAACAATTAAAATAGTTGACCATATTTTTAAGGCTGAACTTCAATCGCAGTCAACAGAGACTGAGGGGAAAAAAATAGTTTTTTACAAAGAAAAAGAGAGGAGTGACACAGTTTTTTATTTATTTGTTAAGATGTGTTTTATTTAGACTCTTCCTTTTATGAGACTGCACACATAGGGCTGCTGGCTGGTGTGAATTACCATATCCTCAATGAGGAAAAAAGTAATGCTGGTTTACACTTGCTGAGGGTCTGGCCCATATATTCCACCACAAACCCCAACTGCCCCTGGTCTCTGCCTTTGCACGAAAATAGCCTCACAGTGGTGAAAGCATTGTGATATCTTTTAGGTCACTCATGTCTGTATAGTAAAAGGTCCTGAAAGTAGTTTGTTCAGAAAACAGGCTCTTTCAAGTATTTTCTTAACTAAAAGCTAGTTCCCCAACTGCCCAGCTCTTTTGGCTTCAAGGCAACTTTCTCTGGGCCTTATCTTCACACTAAATTTGGTAATCTGACTTGGATGCCCATGTTTCTTTTGCTCTTGCTCCAATGTGCTACAGGGTTGGATCCTACACCCTTTGAAATCATAGACAGTGTTGCCAGACTTGTCTGAAATATTCCTATGTGTTCATTTCTTTGATGCTTGCTTTTCTTTATTTAGATAAGTTCTGGTAAAAATGATTCACCTGTGTGTAGAAGTATGAATGGCAGATTGAGTGCTTGGAAAGCTTGACTTTCAGAGCATTTTAAGGAGTTGATTGACTTCTATAATATGATAGCTGGTAAAAGATTATACCTTTCAGAGCTGTGTTACCTGAACTTGATCAACATTGCACGATGGTTTAAATATTATGAAGTACATCTCTAGCAGACAGGGTCTGCATCGGTCTGAGGAAATATGCTATCAGCGCTCTAAGCAGAATGTAAATATGAGTAGTGGAGTGGTTTGTCTTTGTCTCTGAGAACTGCTGCTGAGTAAGAGAGAAGGAGAAAATCAGAATTTAGTCAGATATTTCTATCTGTTTGAGGTTATGTCATTTGGAGTTAAGTGTAACATCCAGAATAATTCACTGTAGTGATGACAAGTGCATTAAATCCCAGTGTGCATCCCATCGAAACCTCTGGGATGAGGAGAACAGCAGTATAAACAGAAATTATTACAGTGGGCTATAAATAGCTCATCATGATCAGTATCCCACATCCAGGGAAGATTAAGCAAGACTTCCTTGTACTTCACCATAAGCAAGATCACACTTCAAATTTTATTTCATCGTAAATAGTCAGTTAGCAGCACTGTGCGCAGATGTTATTTCTCTGCTAAGTTCTCATCCAGCTTTTACAGAAAATCCTTATTAACTCAGTTAGAGAGAACATTTTGATGGAGGCAGGGCTCATTTTATGTCTTTTGATAGAAAGAAGGGTTTACAGATTCACAGGAGGACTGTCACTCTCATGTGAAATGAAAGGCTGTCTGTACACTGAGATATGCATGTGCATTTCAGAGCTGAAAATCCGGTCTTGTTTTCAGGCACTACCATGCACCTTTAAAGCAGAGGCACTGCTGTGATTCTGGGCTGAGCAATGCCAGTAACTGAGACTTCAGTTCATTTCTAAGAGCAGTGAGTAGTAGTCCTTTGAAAAACAGGAGCTAAAATATGCATATTTCACAGAAACACTTGTAATGCCTTAATCGTAGCTGATTTTTTGATGATTGTAGGATCTTTCAGCCTGGCCATATGTGACTGCCACTTGTCTGGGTCTTGCTTTGGAGTTACACAGACAGAATTAATGCATACTGGGCTCGGGATAGAAACTGGGGCTGATTTCTGAGTTATACCTGGCACTGTTTTGTCTGCTGTTGCTTTCTGATTGTATTTGTGAGGATGGTTTGTTTTCGTCAGTTTGTCAGGGCTATTTCACTCACTCATTTCTTAAGTGGGCAGAGTATTTGCTTTACTTTCAGTATGGGAATGAGTTAGGAAATTTTTGACGGTTAACAAGGAATATCAGCTGTTTGTTTTCAAAGCTGGGTGTGTTTTTCTGTAGCAAGGAGGGATGACCCGGAATATTCTCCTCTCATGGTCATTACCCTAAATCCCCATGCTACAGTACATAAATAATTCACTACTAGTTGTATCACTCCATGACCCCTGTTTAGCCCTCAGCAACAGTAACCATTGCACTCCCTGCTGAGTTAGGAATGCACAAATTGGAAACTGTTTGTAGTTTGCAGCTCAGGATTGAAATGTTATGGAGTGGTTGCCACATGGGCAGCCGAAGCCCTTACTTGCAAGCTAGAGGGAGACAACGATGTTGATGGCCCTGAGGCAGTGGTGGAAGCCCAGATGTTCTTGTGTAGCTGCTGAGAAGCAGCACTGGGAATTTTCCCAGCAAAGTAGCTCTGTATCCTGCTAAAAGGCTGTCGTCTGTATCTGTCCTTGCGTGACATGTGCCCGATGAGTGTTTTGGCTTTTGAAAGAGAGGAGGGAAACAAGCACCTTCTGCTCTGAGTGCTTCATATCACCCTGCTCCTAGTGCATCTTTGTTGCTACAGAGAGGAAAGCTATTTGTGCTACTCTTTTTTTTTGATCTCTGCCTTTGCATCCTCTGACTGTTTTTATAAATGGACATCCTTTCCCCATGTAGAGACCACAGTTAAATGGATCAATTCCTTGCCATTTTTACTCTGCAGCCCTGAACTTCAGCGGGTTTCAGAGGCAATGGATCTGTTTGTTCACAGATTCAGGAAGGCTGCATGCACTGTTTTGCATGATGCTAACTGAAAATACAGGAGGTTTGCTTTTCCTACAGGCTGTGTCTCACCGCAGCTCTTGGGTCCTATGGGTGCTAGAGGGGTCGCTGGAGGGTAGCCAGCGTCAGCCCTCTTCGCTAACGGTGGAGCTCGTGAAAACTACCTGTCTCTAGACTTAGTTTTTCAGATTGTGATCACAGCCGGTTCATTTGGTTCTGCTCTCCACTGGTGTGTATTGCTTGCGCCAAACAATCAAATTTCATACCTCCCCAGGGCAGGGAGAGACTGCTGCAAGCACACACCTTGCCATAGGGACTGTGCAGAAAATTTTCTTTCTTGGATGCTATCATTGCTTTCTTTTCTTTTTCCACTGATTTTCTTTTATGCTTTTTTTTTTTTTTAATTCCACTCTCTCTCATTCATTTAACTCACTCATGTGCCTTTCATCTGCTTTTTGCCCTGCTTTGTGCTCTTTATTTCTGGTGCTTTCTGAGTCTCTTCTCTAAAGTGCCCTGTCCCTCTCATAGGCACAGAGTATAGGTCCAAAAGCACGTGTCAGTCTTGATTAAGGTAAAACATTGCAAACCAATACTGCACCTTACTGTAGTTTGAGTAACTCCTGTGCAGAGAGAAGACCTGAAGTTTGTCATGTTTGCACTGATGAATTGCCCATTCCCAGCTAGCCAAACCAAGGCAGACATGTATCTGTATGCATGTACCTGTACATAATATTTTTCCTTCTGCTTCACTTACATGTACTGGGGAAGCTTCAGCCTGAAGCTGTGGTCACAGTTTGCACAGTTTGGTAACTGTTACTTTTGCCATGCTTTCCTTTCTGAACCTATTTTATAAGAGTCTGGCT